GTTGATATACATGATTCACAGTTTAATTCGTACCGTACGTTTATTCGTCCCAATTCATTTTTGTCCTAATACGCTATTTATTTTGATTTGTAACAAGAGTTCGGACAACCATAATTACTAGTTGCTAGTTACCCAGTACCAACATTTCTAGTCGAGTCGAGTCGACTGACCCGGAAATGTGCATCAAGGCTGGCTGATAACTTTTCAATGGGACATCTTAGTCGATGTATTGATTATAGATACAGTTTGTTGTTCGGATCTAGTATATTGCGCATGGGACTAATCGACCGTCCACCATATATTTGTTAAGTGTCCGTTGTTGTTTTTTTCTTTTCTTTTTTTAAGGTAATATTGTGCTATATTTTCTTTCTCTTTTAGTATTTTTGCTTTGGAATTCCTCCAGTCCCCCTGTTCTGTCCGGCCAGCCTGTATTAGGTGATTGGTATAGGCTGATCTATCAGGCCCCGTGTGAGCAATAAAATAAAATAAAACCATATTGCAAGAGAAGTGGAGTGTTTTAGGGTAGAAGCCTAATCATAAATGCAAATCTGACTCAGAATTTATTCATTTTTCAAATAAATTGTACTTCCAGGCATTTATAAGGATATTGATTTGAAAAAAAGTTCGGGGTCACCAGCTCAGTTTTCGACTGAGAAAATAATGGTTGTAATTTAGCGTATATTTGCCATTTTGACAGTATTAACGTTTTACCATATGCTCCTATGGCAGAGATATTATGCCATATCTCAAATTGTTCCCTGGTGACATATGCTGAAAAAATCATATATTGTTAATGATGTGGTACTTATTGTTGTCCTTAATTACAAAATGTACAAGATGTCAACAGTTTCTCAAAATACGTCATCATTTTACACAATAAACCAATAAACACTGTCATGCTATTTATGCCCTTTCTCAAAAATTATGACTAGGCTTCTACCTTATGCTTATAGCCAATAACATGCATTTTCTTCGATCGTATCGCCACCTGATAGTGACCTGACCCACAGTGAGGGACTGTGCCTGACCTAATCAAATATTTGTTTGTGTACGCATGCTCAATTTGGGTTCATGGTTGCTGAATGAGTGTATATCATATGTAAGTATGTTTTGTGTATCGCTCCCCACTCAGCAGAATTCTCTCTAGGATTATTGCTCAGTATTATTCTTGCCACGAAATTACTCACTATTGTACTCGTTACGCTTTAAGAAGATCTAGTAACTGTAAAGGAGCGACAGCTTATTGTTAAACTAGACGAGGCAGAGAATCGCGAAACTGCGCCCCAACAAGCAGATGTGAGTTGCAATCTGACGTAACGGTACAACGACGGTCGCGGTGACTTTGCCCTGGACCATTGGCGGTGACGTGTTGTACTTGTGGTGCGACTAATCATTGGTATTTGACTAGTCCGTTCAAAAACAGTGTCTATATAGTCTGTCTCAAATTATACACCTCGTGAATGCAACAGAGATGTAGTTCATGTCAACTGCCAGGCAGAGGCCGGCCCGTGTCAAGGAGGATTTTACACAACACGCAGTTTTTGCCAAAGCTCTGATGTGCAATAAAACAAAGTTGTTTCAGGAGCACTGCAGGGTCGTGGAACATTTGCTGCAGTTTATGCAGCTCTCTTGATCGTGGTATACGTTGCGGGGCCGCAACGTAATATCGAAATAAGCTTAAGCGGCCAATAAGAGCTGCTAAACTGCAGCAAGTTGAACATATGATTGATTATACCCGCGGGTATATAAACAAGTCGTCTCAATACACCGGATATCATGAGGGCGTAAATTTGTTTTATATGGAATATTTATAAATGTTTATAAATTTCAAAAAGCTGATTGAAAACAGTTTGACTAATCACAAGAAGATGAACCTATTCACTGGCTCATGTTCACAATTTAAGGTTCTTTGTCGATATACTTTTACTTGCATTTTCTAAAATTTATTTCAGAGTAATTTCAAGTATTAAACAGCAGTGGTCATTGCATCACGCCACTGTTGCGCAAACTGACGAGTACAAACTGAGATGTTACCAATCTTCAATTAGATAACAATTCTTTGGTAATTGGAAGATATCATCAACAGTAATTAGTTCACGTCACCCCCAGGTTAAAACTCATACTTGTGATAAATTAGAAAAGTGCATTGGATGACATGAACACTTATGTCGCATATGTGCGGCCCAATGACCAACACCGTTTAAACAAATTTGATAGAAATTATCAGTTACATTCATGGCAGTAAATGCGACAATGGAGAATTGAAGAAACCTTGTTAAGACTCATGATTAATGGACGTCATCCAATGTACCTAATCATCTTCCCTCAATTTGAACAAAGTGCAAGGATCTTTCGAGATAAAAGTTTTTTAAATATTTGTAAATGGCCATAAAACAAATTCACGGCTTCATTTAACCTGGTGTAATGAACATTTCCTTTAATCCAGTAGATTAGTTTCTGGTGGTTGTGCATTGTTTTGCTAAAGCAAGGTGAGATACATAGTCGTGTTGGCTACTGTAAAATACTTTAAATTATTTTAGCTGGAATTAATTTTCCCTGAAATGTGTTTTGAGGTGTTTTGTATGGAATTTATTTTCACTGATTTCTGACGAGTTGAATGTGAAATATAGGAAAAAAGGTATATTCACTGGATTTAATTTTCACTGAATCATTCTTTCAGTGAAAATAGCGAAAATTTATTCCAAACGAAAATAAAGTATCTCACAGTAACATATTGACATTGTAATCCAGCTAAAATAATGTATTTTAGTGTATGTTAAAGTTATGGTAAAAACACAATCTGTTGTTGGCACTGAATAATTAATACTTTCCCTAAAGATCAACTTGGCTTATGTTTAAATGTTTTATGTTTTTTTTTTATTGTTATTTTTGTTTATTCATGACTATTTTGTTGGTCTTATTTGCCAATATTATATTGCACATCTGTTACCTTTTATTAACTACATAAATAAAATTGTTTACAGTATTTTCACTTCACTAATTTATAACACGTTATATTTCATATGATTTCCCCATGAATTTATAATCACAATATTGTGCATATTATAAATGTTTTTCAGATCAACTAAAAAAGGGCCAGCTTGTGGTAATTTTGTTTTAATGAATGTCGTTCATGTTTTGTTCATGTCTGACATTTATACCTCATGACCATGACAGCCAATCAGATTCACGCATTACAGGAAGCATATTCGTGTGTCGACCTGCTGCCATATTTGTATGTCTACCTCCATCCGAATACCTTTCTTCCCTATTTACCTGATTTAAGCCAATAACTTGTATACAACACATCGCAATTATTCATGAACTTATTAGTTTGCCAGGTTTGCATTCACTTTTTAAATATCTGACCATTTTGTTTGAATGAACGCTGTTCCACAGCCATATCTCTGACATGCCTTGACCAATTAAGTTTATATATATTTTATATATACACATACAAGATGTTCGAATGGTAGTCATTTTAAAGTGAAAAATACATCCCAGATCTTGGTGACTGTGAATACTTTATTTTTGCTTGGAATTAATTTTCGCTATTTTCGCTGAAGGAATGATTCAGTGAAAATAAAATCCAGCGAATATACCATTTTTCCTATATTTTACATTCAACTTGTCAAAAATTTCATACAAAAGACACAAAACATCTTTTGAGTGAAAATTAATTCCAGCTAAAATAAAGATTTTACAGTATGCATAAATACATTGTAACTACTAGTTAGCAAGAGTTGGTTGTTTGCACTGGGAAATAAAACAATGGCGTTGTTTGCTACAAATGTAATAAATACACATGTATGTTTCTCCATTACTAAAACTACTTACGAACAACATTGTTACAAAAGATTGCAAGCTAGTGATGATCAGTGAGCAAAAATTGGTATCAGAATTTGCATGTTAGTTGGCAAAAATATAAACAAATTACATATGTCAACCAATATGTCGAGGACCAATAGCATGATAGCACATCTATATATTTTAATAAAATATTCTTTTTTTTAGATATCAGATTTCTTAAGATGCCTACAAAGTTGAAATCAATGTCATCTCATCAGCTGTTTGGTGTTTATCTGGTGTTCAGTATCATACTACATGGTACATTATCATCGGCACAGACAGGTACATTCTCACATCAGTCATGGTCTACAAATAGTATTTCTCATAAGATGAATGAAATTCAAAGCAGGTTCAAAGACAATTGATATTTATTGACTTATGCAGGTATTATAGTCTGTTTTGCATGTGTCAATATTAAATTTTTTTAGCTTATGTCATGGTGATGTCTGTCTGTCTGCAGCAAATTTGTGAAGGTGATATCTCAAAAATCAGTGATCAGAATCGGTCGTAAACTATAAGACAATTACAAGATCTGATTAGGTTTTGGTACGAATTGTTAACATTTGCATTTGAAAGGAATTCTCATTTCATTGATAAGACTAGAACTGGTTCTCAGATTCACATGAAACTTAACACTGCTATATTTGGAATATTTGTGCAAGTGTTGTGCATAATTATTGAGCACAATTAGTATCTGAATTGATTTCTATTTGTTTCAGAACCAGCTCTATTTGTAAACCTCTATTTTTTGGGAATATTTTTTGTCATTTATGGTTAAAAATAATGTTTTTCAGATTGTTTTGCAATTTGATATGAATATTGTTGACATGGATTACACTCAGAATTATTATTTTCAAGGCACCATTGCAAGTTTTTTAAAAAATTGTTTGCGAATTTTCAAATTCTTCTCCAAAATTAACATTGCTTTGAAATTCATAATGTCAACACATGGACTGGTACTCTCTCAAGTTTGTTTATTTGGTGAAGATATCACTAATTCACTACGTTCAATTACCCACCATAGACTCCGGTCAAAGTTAGAAGAAGCATCATGACCCAAAGATTGTTTTCCCTTACGTCACGAACCACGTGACCGAGCCTATATGGCAGCGCTATTAACGGCTGTACAATCACTCTTCTTTCATCTCCGCCTCGTCGGGAATGATTCTGAGCGGCTCTGCCTGTCTCGTTTGCTTTTTCCTGTCCGGGTTTCTAGCGTGGGTGACTGCTGCAGCCGCGGCATTTGACATTCTAGCTGGTAGGATAAGTTTTTCTTGTCTCTTTACCCTCGTGTCGTTTCCCCTTTGTGTGTAATATTTTTTCACAACAAAGAAATTAAAACCCGGCGCCACTACGTAACCACTTGTTGGTGTTGTGGCGGAACCTTTTATAACTGTTTCGTTTCCCTCATGCATATCGTCTTTTTTTTACAATGTATTTAGAAATGGATAGATATACTGGCAACGCCAGAAGCTCGCCGCCGGTTTTATCCCCTCGGCCTATGAGGCAGGTTTGCATCAACTGTGCACAGAACATACTAGATTGGAACCCTCATACTAAATGCGTACGGGGTTCGGGCTTTTGTCCAGAGGGCATTTGTGATCATTGGAGTTCCGGGGCCTGGGATTCTTTCCAGCATTGCGTTAAGATCGCTGAGACTGACCGCGTTGCTCGCTTGGGAAAAGATCGTGCATCAGGTTTAATCGGTAAGTGTGAGTTGTGCATTGGCATGAGTGGGAAGTCCTCGTGCTCGGCTACCGGTACTTGTACCAAGACGTCAAGCAAGAGGCCCAATGGTGGAGGTACCGATGTATTTCGTTTTCCCCCCGCTGATTGGAGGGAATCCTCACAGTCTTCTTTTGCAGGTGGTGTGTAAACAGGAAGAAACACAGGAAGCACCGCTCGCATTCTAGACACATCTTTTCCAGGGGGAACCCCCCATCCTCTCCCCCCCGGCTGATGGGGGGGGGGGGGGGGCTCATGCTAGTGGCACCGGGTCTCTATGGGGACCCCAGACACAGAACACCAACGGGGATGCTGGCAGCCAAGGCTCCGATCTCGGGGCATGGCTTTCGGGACAGGGTACACATTGTACCTCCCCACCCGCCTTCAATCAGCCAAGGTTCACCGCGTGGTACCAGACTCAAAAACTTACTTTTAAGTCCGAGCTCCATCATGGTTTTCGACTCCCTATGGCTCTCTTGGCTGGGGCTACTACAGTGCAGTGAGATGCGGTTTTAGATAAAATAGATGTCAAGTGTTTCATATAAACATGTGTTATCTTGTTTTTATTTTTTTAGTTTGCACTTCAATGTCTGACTGCTACAGTGGAGACTGTGTTTCTGGACATTGTGAATGCATTGAAGGATTCTCTGGCATTTACTGTGATGTTTATTCTCCATGTCATGATCTTTATTTCCCATGTGGTGAACATGGATACTGTACAGAAGCTCAAACATGTATTTGTTCTGAAGGTTATTATGGTGCATATTGTAATGAGAAATATGGTAAGTTAATAATTGTGATGTTTTATTATGCTTAGTACACTAATACTAAACATTGTGTTTGTTGACTAGGGTAATCAGCAAACTTTGAGACAGCTTGTCTATGACTAGGGTCTATTGTCGCAAACTTTATGGTAGTTTGTAATGAGAAATTAGGCAAACATTAATGTAGTTTGTGGGTTTCTGAGGGAAAATTGCACAAACTTCAAGGTAGTTTATGAGTGGCTAGGAAAATTTAGGGAAACTTAAATGTAGGTAGTGGGTTTATGTGGGGTAGGCAAACTATAAGGTAGTTTGTGAGTGACGAAGGAGAAATTAGGCAAACTTTATGGAAGTTTGTGGGTTTCTGAAGGAGAATTATACAAAATTCAAGATAGATTATGAGTGACTAGGAAACTGAGAGAAACTTACATGTAGTTTGTGGTTTTATGTGGGGTAGGGCGAACTATAAAGTATTACATTTCGCTGATTTACCATTTCAGGCATATTCAGTGGGTTTTTTAATTTACGGTTTTATCATTTAGATAATGTGTTTTAAGCTAAATTTTACATATTCACTGGGTTTTAATTTACTGCATTTTCCAGTCAGCGAAACACTGCTTTTGGAGGCAGCCATGTTGTGTACGCCCTCAACATCAAAATATGTTCAAAGCTTGAGTTCTCGATGTCTAAACTAGCGGATTTCATTCCTGCAGCTAAGCTTTTCCTGACCAAGCTATGCTGCACGGTGTCAAAGCTGTGATTTTTCATTAAAAAGCTACACTTTCATTGGTACCCCTGAAGAGGTCAAGTTGTTATTAAAGGTACATCAGATTTATGAATGCAGTTTCTTGAGCATGTATGAGACATAGTTTGGTTGCGCTTGTGTACTTTAATAGTTTGGACCTGGGTCAATGAAAGTTTCAGTTATCAGATTAAGGGAAATCACTTTATGATGAGTTGTACCCACATAGAGTACATATTGAATTGTAGATGTTCCATGTATTATTTTAACATTAACATTATTTTATAATTTAATTAAATGACGGGGACTGTGACAGTCATGTCTTGTTAAATAAAATATGGTAGTGTATGAATGGCAAAAGCGGTAAGCCAACTTTTGCGGTAACTCTGCGCTCGCCATTTACACGCTCCCATTCCCAAAGAAGAAGCTACAACGTGATCCCCGAAATGTTGCCTGAACCAATCACAGAACAGACAATGAATTTTCGGATTAACACCTCTTTTTTTCTCCCGCACTAACCAGCTATCCCCCACACTGCCGAAGAAAACTTTTGTCTTCTACTGACTTTCTGTTCTGGTCTGTTTTTGAGAATGATATTTTATTTTTATTGAAAAAACACGAAAAACATAAACAAGAGACTGTATGCAAGTCCAAGTGGATTTAGTCATATAGCACTATCATTTATACCAACTTGCATTTTAACAACAGTTTTATATGGCATAATATTTTGGGCAAACATTTGAAATCACGGGTATGACCATTGCAATTAATTTTTTTTTTCGCGTTGTCTTATTTATATTTTTTTTTATTTTTTATGAATGTGTCAACATTTGTTCCAGCTGCACCTCACTTGCATTTTTATTTTTGGTGATTGGCTTGCGTTTCTTTTGAACAAATTTTCCACCCCTAATTTTATATATAATTTATGGAAATATACAGAAAAAATAATATACATAAGTTATTACTACAATGGTTAGCACGTTTTGATTTTGAATTCCAAATTTGCTTGACAAATCTCAATTAAACTGTTACATATTCTATTTTAGGTACTGTTACTAGAAAATGACAGAGAGAGACTAGAGTGTTTTTAGACAGCTTGGAAAAACACAAAGAAATAACCAAAAATACTAGACTAAAGAACAAATAAAAATCAAGGAGGAGATGAGTAAGTGTTAATTAATAGTTTTTATAATTAAGAATTCGTTTTATTCAAGCTTGTTAAAATAGCAGTTCATTGTAATAATAAATATAGTGTTAGTTGTAAATAATATTTCTATCATTGCAGCTGATGGAATGCCTGGAAAAAGAAGTCAAAGAGGAAGAAAAAAAGATGTGGGACATGGTGACTAAAGTTGTCACATTATGTTGTCAGATGAGGAAGACGGCAAAGAAGATTGGAAAGGAATGCTCATTGTGAGGTCTCCAACATTCAGGTTATGGCACTGAACAACTTGATTTTGGATTTAGACAACTGAGTAGCCAGCCATGATTGTCCCAAGTTTTGATGACCAACATGATTTTTTTTTCTGATTTCTACCCAAATGGACCCTTTCAATATTTTTAGCTTATTACTGGAATTTTATTACTTTTGTTTCCTTTCTTTGAATTTATAAATTACAAATGCATTAATTTTTGAATGTCGTTATTTCTGTGATACAAAATTTAAACCACTTGAAATGTACTTATTTTTCACCTTCAATTAAATTAAAATTAAAACCCCATACGATTTATTTATGTATGTCGTGGAAGATTTGTGTACTTGTAAGTGTGTGTATTGTTATTACAAATAAATACTAAATCACTTGAATCACAGATGTCTGTCTTTTATTCCCACATTTACAATTACCCCAAAACAAGTCCTCAATATTAATTAACACAAAATTTCATTAGTTGAAATGTATTATCATTCACCTGAGATCTACTGTGAACGTTATTTCCGATTATGAACTGTTCACGTTGCCCTTTAGTACTTATTTCATGAACATCAAGTGGCCATATTTGATTTCCTGTGGTATATGCGATCTAGTCTGATGCAAGTCACAGGGGAACAGTCACTTATAACATACAGATAAAAAACGACTGATCACTGGGATGTCCATGGGTGTGTCAATAACCATTTCTTTATCTTTACATGTATATGACAGTAACAGGAGCTCAAGATATTGCTAGGTTGTTGTATTGTGTTTATAAATAAATGTGCTGCGGTAGCAAACACGAGTAATACTATCGATACTTTATTTACAATGTATAAACAAAATACTAGTATATAGTAAAATTACGAGCACCTGCGGTGCCCTGTCGAACCAAATTACTACGTGACTGATAAACCGGAAATGAAGTTTGACCAATAATATGTGACCTGTATGCAAATGTTCCTGAAAAATCAGCCAATAGCATGCGCTTTAAATATGCCAAGTATATTGTACTCAAAATATACGTAGATTTGTGCCGATATTAATTATGTGCACTGGTTTGTTGCGTGACCGTATACGCAACGTATACGTAGATCTGCGTCAGTATTAACTCTGTGCAGTCATGTGGTCGTATATACTACATGTATGTATACATAGGAATATGTTAGACAGCATTGTTCTTCATTACGTGTACGTTAATGAGTGCAGTGTATGAGTAAATATACTGCTGTACATGGGCGAGTACGTTAATGTGCGTATATCAACGATTTTGCCCACTGTCTGTTCCATTTGTGGTCATTGTTCAGATATGAGCAGCCATGTGTAGGACTGATCACATTACATTCTGTTGTCATAATAAAAATGACTGTCAAATTTCTGACTCATTTTCAGATTGTATAGACGATGGCGATTGTAACTATAAAGGTATTTGTTTTGATGGAGAATGTTCATGCTATTCTGGTTCTGGTGTACATTGTGAGATATCTAATAAATGCTTTAATTCATTGGACTGTAACCATGGTTACTGTGCTATAGATGGATTTTGTATTTGTGACACTAGATGGTCTGGTATTTTCTGCAATGTGCAAAATGGTAAGTTATATTATAATGAATTTTGCTTTTCATTTTTCATTCAAAAATTCATTGCAATCTGTGATGCCATTAGTACAAAATAGGTTTGATTAAAGTGCAAATGAAATTTGGAATGAGTTCTTCATAGAAAATCACCAAAAATTAACCTCTTATAAATACTAGTCAGATATCCTTTGAATATGTGATTTGAATTGTCTTATATTGTAAATATTCTACTTCATGCATCACAGACAAGAGTGAATTGTTTTTAATTTTTTTTTTTTAATTTTTGGTTTTGAATTTTTTTTTTCTATATTTCCACATGATAAAAATTACTAAAATGTTTTCATAGTATACAGCAAATTTCACTAAAACAAACTTGAACAGGTTGTTTAAATGGTAGCAAAAAATCACAGTAGGATAATTTGTTCATGCTAGGCGAATAACTTATTTTCTAGGCGTTACAAATGTTGATTATTACTTGGTCATGATTATTTTACATATAACATAGAAAAAAAATGATGTTTTGTTCCGAGACGCAAGTAAAATTCAAGTACATAGATGCTCCAGAACAATCCAAAGACATTATTAATTTCAAGTAAAAATGTGTGCATATTAATCAACTAATTTGCATAATTAGGTAATTTTTGGCTTTTACACTGATATCGCAAGTACTAATTATCCCATTTCAATGAATCTTGGTACATAGATGTTCTAGGACAATGCACAGACCTGACTAGTTTTGGGTTAAAATCAGTGCATATTAATTACCTAATTTGCATAATTAGCACATTTTCAGCTTTTACACTGATATCACATGTACAAATTATTCCATTTTAATGAAACTTGGTGCATTGATGCTCCAGAATATTGCACAGACCTGCTCAGTTTTGGGTTGAAATCAGATCATATTAATTACCTAATTTGCATAATAACTTCGTACATAGGTGGTCTGTGACAGTACTTATCTTAATTCAATGAATCTTGGTATATATGTACTCTAACACAATGTGATGATCAAATTAGTTTTAGGTTTATGTACATCTATAATAATTACCTAATTTGCATAATAATTTACTTTTCAGCTTTCCACTAGTTTAGTTAGGATTAATCATCACATTATAAATGAAACTTGGTACATGTGCGCCATGGAACAATATAAAGACCTATTAAAAATAAGTACAAAAATGGTTTTGACAGCTGTCATGCTGATGTAAAACAGTAACTGTAATGTTTTTACATTAGATATCAAATATTATATTCTACCAGTATATTGATGGTGTCATCCATCGATTTGATTGGTCCAAACACAAAAGTTGCATATGCAATTAATGGTATATTGGCTAATAATGCGAAGCTAAACAAAGTGGCCCTGGAACATGAATTGACTACAGGTTTAATGCGGAAATACATAAAATCGGTAGTATTTGATTTTTAGGGAAATATAGTGGTCGTTGCTCGCCACACAAACCTAAACCACCGTCCCTCAACACTGTGAGGGTTGTAGCTGACAAAATTGCAGTGAAATTGCACCCGGGTAATTGCCATCTGTTTCAAAGACCACAGGACAACGCAGAATTCGATGATGATATACATTATGTATGGTATTGTAATTCTCCACTATGGGTAAATATATTACAGGAGATGATGAAGGTAATTTCGAAATCTGCAGATTTGTCCCGAGTGTACACCAACCACTGTACAGAGCGCTGGCGTGCAATGTCCTTTATTCACCGTGTTGAGACAAGGTACATGTATGTGTCACAAAAATGATGCGAGAATTTGATCATACACCAACAAACTTCAGGCATACTGTCACAAAACTTTGGTTATACCAAAGATGTATCCAGGTCAGATGTTGGGACTGAGGTCACCGTGCCGGTTATCGTACATGATACACTACCGCGTCCTGCCATGTCTCAAAATTTGATCGAACAAAATACACTAGAACGTCAAATATCCACAGTTACAAGTAGTACATGTATGATGAGTCACAAAACCGGTTTATTTCACAACTGTACTTTCAATGGGCAAATTACAGTCCAAATTGTACAAAAACCGGAATGAAAACGTGGAAAATCCAAACTGTAATGATCCAAACTGTACACAACCCTATATTTCAAATTGCGTTGACGCAGTCAGTAAATGGTCATAAAGGTCATCTTTTGTTATGCTAATTATTGTATTTACGTAGCTCTATTAACTGTGGATACGTTTTCGTTTTCACGCGGAATAAAAATTATTTTGTAATCAATTTGAACTGTATTGGCTATGTAATTTTTGTATGCATTCAGTGTACAACTACATACTACTCTAAATATTCATGTTCAAGGGCCACATTCATGATGTACATGTATACCCGTCTTTGGTGGGGGAGGGGGTAATTGTTCAAATATTGTAAATTATACATGTATTTGTTAAATGCTTTTGTTCAACAGATTGCACGTTTGATTATGAATGTGGTG